TCTACAGACCTATATCTAATCTACAGACCTATATCTAATCTACAGACCTATATCTAATCTACAGACCTATATCTAATCTCCCATTCATCTCAAAAGTTCTTGAGAAATTAGTTGTAAATCAGCTACGTGAACATCTGGATAGAAATAATCTATATGAAGAGTTTCAGTCAGGGTTTAGAGCTCATCATAGCTCATCAGTGTCACCAGATTAGATCAGTTTATTGATAAAATGTTTTAAGTAAAAATCAATATGGTGTTTAGAGCTAATAACATCAATGGCTCTCATGGACCTAACTGAACACATAACAGGTGTTGATCAAAAACAATCTTGTGTTTTTGTTGATTTAAAAAAAAGCATTTGATGCCATTGACCACAGTATTCTTGGGAAATTAAACAAATATGGTATAAGAGGTTCAGTTCTACAGTGGGTAGCAAGTTATTTAACTAACATTCAGGAAGAGCAGTGTGGTTCTGGTCCTGGTCCTGGAACACTGGACCAGCTCTACACCCTCAGCAGGGTCCTGGAGGGTTCATGGGAGTTCAACCAGTCTACATGTGTTTTGTGGACTTGGAGAAGACGTTTGACCGTGTCCCTCAGGGACTCCTGTGGGGGGTACTCAGGGAGTATGGGGTACCAGGCCCATTGATGCAGACTGTTAGGTCCCTGTAGGACTGGTGTCAGAGCTTGGTCCACATTGCTGGTAGTAAGTCTGACTCGTTTCCAGTGAGAGCTGGACTCCACCAAGGTTGTCCTTTGTCACTGATTCTGTTCATAACTTTTCTGGACAGAATTTCTAGGAGCAGCCGAGGTGTTGAGGGGATCCTTTTTGGTGACCTTAGGATCACATCTCTGCTTTTTGTGGATGATGTGGTCCTATTGGCTTCATCAGATCCTGATCTCCAGCTCTCACTGGAGCCGTTCACAGATGGGATGAGGATCAGTGCCTCCAAATCCCAGACCATGGTCTTGAGCTGGAAGAGGGTAGGGTGTCTTCTCCGGGTCAGGGAGGAGGTCCTGCCCCAAGTGGAGGAGTTTAAGTATCTCAGGGTCTTCTTCATGAATGAGGGAAGAATGGAGCAGGAGATCAACAGGTGGATTGGTGCTGAGTCTGCAGTGATGCGAGCGTTGTACCGGTCTGTCATGGTGAAGAGAGAGCTGGGAACACCTTGGGATTCCCCCGGATGAGCTGGCCCAAGTTGCTGGGGAGAGGGAAGTCTGGGTCCCTCTGCTTAGGCTGCTGCCCCCGTGACCTGACCCTGGATGAGCAGCAGAAAATGGACGAACTGAATTGAATTGAATTGATGACAAAGTTTGTTGGACAGTATCTGTTGAAGAGGATGTTTTATGTTTTTTTTTTCATGGAAAACAATTTGTTCAACATCCATTTCCCCACCACCACTTAAAAAAGATAATTCTTATTTCAACCCCTAAATGCCATGGGAATACATATTTTTATTTAGTTTATTATGTTTGTTTTATTAGTTCATTATTCTTAGTGCATTTTAAAAAAATAAAAACCAAATTAACAATTTAGTGATATTTTTGAGGACCCCCCTCGATACCTCTCACAGACCCCTGGGGGTCCTGGGACCCCAGTTTGAGAACCTCTGTATTAAAGGAATGGGTTGAAGGGATGGTTGGGATGAAGGCTTATTTCAAAGACTCAGAGTGGGGCACAGCCTTCAGGGAATGATCCTTTCCTGAGCCTGCTTACCTGAAAGGGAACAGATTAGGAGGTGATTCTTTGAGGTCTGGATGGAGGTGAAAGGAAGGAGTGAAGAGCTGAGGAAGGGATGGAGGTGAAAGGAAGGAGTGAAGAGCTGAGGAAGGGATGGAGGTGAAAGGAAG